GTATATATATATAAATTATGTTCCTAATTTGCAGTTTTTCACCTATTGCGGTGGTGTCTGGAACATAACACCCACGATAATCAAGGGACTACTGTACTAATACAAGTGCAGTAGCACAGTCAGTATTTCCTACTGCTCTTGAACGCAGCCCAGCTTATTCACCTTATCCCACCTGGCACATTCAGAGACGGAGATAAACATGACAGGAAAATGTCTTATAACTCAAAGGGGCCCCAACAGAAAAAAAGTTTGAGAACCACTGCACTAATCTACCAGCACAGTTTTAAAGTTCATGATATAGTTTGCTGGGCAGCACGGTGGCGCAACTGGTAGAGCTGCTGCCTCTCAACGAGCAGGTCCTTGGTTCAAACCCCTGTCCAGGGGCCTTCTGGGTGGAGTTTGCATGTTCTCTCTGTGCATGCGTGGGTTTTCTCCGGGTGGTTTCCTCCCACAGACCAAAAACATGCATGTTAGGCTGATTGGTAACTCTAAATTATCCCTAGGTGTGAGTGAGAGAGTGAATGGTTGTTTGTCTCGTTTGTCTCTATGTGTCCCTGTGATGGACTTGTGACCTGTCCAGGGTGTACCCCGCCCCTCGCACAGTGATTGCTGGACATGGGCACCGGCGACCCCCGTGACCCAAAATGGAATAAACGGGTAAAGATAATGGATGGATGGAGATAGTTTGCTGTCAGACACACATACACACAGAAGCAATTACATGTTTGCCTGCCACCATGAAAGACAGGCACTAATTTTAAAAAGTACAAGAAGTAGTAAATTAAAACATTATACAGAAATGGTTAAAGCTGCCATGGGAACAATATTAGATTTTGCACGTTTTTACCAAACTATGACAACAGCATGACATCTATTTCTTGCTTTCACAAAGATAATTTCAAGGTCCCCTATCAAGGCTGTTTGGAAGAATCTGTATTCACTACAAAACTAACCTCATTCTCAAAAAAAAAAAAAAAAAGACACACACACACACACACACGCAGAAAAAAGTTTAACACGATGAAGTTGTGCAGTTGAAATGGCTGAAATGAAATCAATAATCAAGCTGTGCTGAAATGTTACAAGCAGGTTAATTACATATTTTATAAAATGGGCAAGGACAATTCCATGGCACATGTTGCAATGAGGTTGCATTAACAGGCACATGTGGTTTAATTGCATACTAGCCAATGTGCATTAATGTGACATTGTTCCCTCTTGTTTTACCTTCTGCCATTTGTAAATGGACTTAATAACAAGCCATGACTTTTAATTGAATCCAGAGTTTGAGCTAAATGTGGTGGTTTAGATCAGACAATTTAAACAGGCCAGTGTTGTGGTTTAACAGTGTTTGGTTGCCACTTCACGTCAAGGCAAAAAATAAATAAACAAATAAATAAATAAAATCAGCTTTGCTGTTGCATCAAGGAAAAAACAAAAACAAGAATGACATGCTGCATGTTTTTCCCTTCCCAGACAAAATAGTCATGAGTAGTTATCAGTAGCAATCTCAAGCGCTCCCAAATCTCCATCCATTGTCCAAATGATTACACTGTCTCTGTGCTGCTGCTCTTGCCAGCCCTCACATTTTATGTCCCTCCAGGTCAAACAAACGTTGCTCTCCATCTCTTTAACTCCTCCGTTCACTGCCTACTCATCCATGTGGTTGTGTTCATTCTCTTCTTTTTATTATTTGGCTCTCTTGACACTTTGCTGCATCTGTGTATCTTCCCCACTTGTTCATACCCCACCTTCTTCTTTGCCTTATCCTCTGATGGAACTGCTCCATGATTAAGAGTGCAACAGTGTGATGGATGGCCTAATGGGAAGAGATAAAGCATTAAAACCCTAATTCATGGGGACATGTTGTTCAGAGGATTTTAGTGAGATCCACTTCAGAGGAGGACTGTATGTGTTTTTGCGTCAGATTGTGAGATTATCCATGTTCAGGCTCTTGTCTATGAATGCGATTCAGTCTCTTAAGTGTGTATTTGTATGTACAGACACAGCAAAGTCTCCATGCTGTGAAATAAATATATCTCTGGGGGAATCGACTAGGCCCTCCTTTAAAAGATTGCATGATGGTGATCATCCTTTCCTCTCTGACATGTTTTTAGAAGTAGTGCTGAAGTAAATCCTCCTTCTTGGAGAGGGGAAAATTTGCAGACCACCTCTCGTATTGACTCAGTTGGAAATAATGCATTACGATGCATAAATGATGGGGTATGATGGGGTATCTAACTGTCTCACTAGCTGCATGTGTCTTATTCACTGGTCTCAAAGCTATTACCATTTCCATGCTAGACAGGAGAACAATGTAAAGCTAATGCCTGGTCTCACAGGAGGGAGGGGACATTTTTTTAATCAGTAGAGAACAAGAACAGTTCATGTTCCTTTCAGATATTCAGAGCATTTTGGCCAATTTTGCATATCGCCACATCATTACAGGTCAGGTCAGGACACTTGTATTTAAACAGGCATTTAAAATCCAAATGCCAGACAAGAATGGAACCATAAGATCAAACAGGGAAAATGCAGACATGTGATGTAACAAACATGCAGATGAGTTACTATAGGCAACTGTAGTGAAATTGGAGATGCAGAATTATTTGGTTCTCAAAAAGAGAACTTGCTCTCTGGTTTCTGTAGAGAACAAATAATCAAAATGTAGTATGTTACTGGGTTGCAGTTGTTGGATACTAGTTGGTGATTCAAAACAGTGCGTAAATGCCCAGTTTTGGAAAACCCTGACCTATGCTTAGTCTGCTACCCCCCCCCCCCCCCCCACACACACACACACACTCCCCCTCTGTAGAGTTTTCAGTCTATTGCATGTTCCCGAGTTCCAGGGTGGTGCCAGTGAGCAGCAGACGGAGGTAATCTCAAAAATTGTCTGAATAAAAGAAAGTCTACAGAAGAGCCCTATTCCCTGCTGGAGTATTACTAGGGGCGTACATTAATTCAACCTTTATTTAGACAAGTTAATCCCATTGAGCCTCGAGGACTCATTTACAAGAGACACATGATTTCACCAAATCACTGAAATCACCAGCTTTACCACGATGCATTATATTATATTGATTTGTTTGTATGACAATATAATATTTCCCAATATCACAAAGTCTGTCACAATACGATTTCAATTCTATTCGATTCACAAGTCTGCAATCGATATATTGCAATATCAAATGCCCATCTCATTTACATATAAATACATTTACAAAAAAAAAATCTAATATGGTTTATCTAGTTTATTTTTGTTATTACAGGCACCAGGCATTTAAATAAATAATAATAATAATACAAAGATTAAAAAAAAGAATAATTCTTAATGAAAAAATAAATAAATAAATAAATAAATAAATAAACCAATACATTGTTACACCTACCAGCTGGTACTTGTCCCTCTGGCTTTCAAGTGATCATATTATCAAGAAATACTTACCCGTGTTCTCTTCTTGCTTTTCAGACTCTTGCCTCCTGAGTCACGTTGACAACTCTCCTACTGATCTGAGCTGTCTAAGCTGGTACCTACCTGTGGATTTCCTGCAGACTCACCTTTAGCTGCTCCTACATCATTCAGCAACTAGCCTTGTGCATTTTCTTGTCTCCACTGCATCTTGCAAGCCTGATCCATACTTGCTGGAGATCCTCTGTCTGCCTCAACTGGGCCTCTCTACTGTAAAGATACGAGGAACCAAAATATGACCATCTCTCATCCTACTAGAGACCAATCATTCTCCTTCATCCCCAGGTTTCCTTGATCCCTGCACTGAACATAGTCCTTAATTTCACTGTGAATAAATCACATTAATTATTCAAGAGTTTGAGTTCTGTTCTTCCATAAGTCCATATTATCTGGGTTTTCGTCCTTGCGACACTTTCATATTATCTGAATGTCCATTTCTGTCTTGTCCACATTGCCTGTCTATTTTTTTACATGATTGTAAAGTCGGTGGCTAATGTTACATAGCAACTAATGCACATCCATCTATCCATTATTTTTTTACCCGCTTCTTCCATTTTGGGTGACGGGGGTCACCGGTGCCCATGTCCAGCAATCACTGTGCGAGGGGCGGGGTACACCCTGGACAGGTCGCAGGTCCATCACAGGGACACATAGAGACAGACAACCATTCACTCTCTCACTCACACCTAGGGACAATTTAGAGTTACCAATCAGCCTAACATGCATGTTTTTGGTCTGTGGGAGGAAACCGGAGTACCCGGAGAAAACCCACACATGCACAGAGAGAACATGCAAACTCCACCCAGAAAGGCCCCTGGACTGGGGTTTGAACCGGGGACCTGCTCGCTGAGAGACAGCAGCTCTACCAGTTGCGCCACCATGCTGCCCTTAATGTACATGCAAAAAAACAAAACAAAAAGAAAATAAATCTAAATGCAGCTTTCAGTGTGAGGTGTTGACCCAAAACATGCTAAACAACATGATCACAGAAGACTGACAAGTTAGACCCTTCTTGTTCACCACTCCTTTCTTCTTGTTGCTGCCATCTTCATCTGCATTCTGTCATGTGTGTGCACGAGTCTGGGTTGACATGACACTAAGCTCTATGGCAACAACCTGAATTGTCTATAATCCATCTACTCATCTCAGGTATACAGTAAAACTATTTTATGGGCTTACTACTACTTGTTTACAGATCATTCAAAATATTTGAGGAATACCTCATTTTAGTACTCTTGTGCTTAGTTTGACTATGATTGTTTTTTTTTTTTTTGCATGTCCTCATACTTTATGTTCAAAGATAATTGTTGGAGTCTCCACTTTGTGCCTGCCTTCAGCCAGTCCACCAGCATTTTCTGCTAGGCTATACAGTAATTATTGCTGTCACAAACTGTAAAAATCAAATATTTAAACATCATGGATAATTTGTGTCTTTTTCAGGGTCCTGTTCATGCATGACAACTACATGATTTCATCCATCCATCCATCCATTATCTTTTACCCGCTTCTTCCGTTTTGGGTCACGAGGGTCGCCGGTGCCCATGTCCAGCCAGCAATCACAGTGCGAGGGGCGGGGTACATCCTGGACAGGTTGCAAGTCCATCGCAGGGCAACTACAAGATTTGGATGAGGTAATCCCTATGGTTAACACCAGAAAAAAAAAAACAATATTATAACACTCAGAGATGCAGCCTTAAGTTTATGTTGAAGATTGACTAATGCATTAGTATCATAAAACATGAGCATGTGCCCAAAACCTGTTCTGTTTTTTTTTATTTTTTTTTTATTTTTTTTATTTTATTATGCATCAAGCTGCAAATATCACTTTTTAGTTTTTTAGGTTTTTTTTTCCCTCGTTTGGCTGCTCCCGTCTCCACAGAGCTACCAGAGACTACATGTTTAACATATTTTGTAAACTAATAAACTCAAAACAACTTCTTCGTGCTTTTTGCTGCCCAGTGCCATGAAAGGTATGTGTGATTGTTTGTATTTGTCTGTCAGCAAAATCTCAAAAATCTAATGATCAGTAAAAAATAAATAAAATTTAATTAAATACTTGTATTTCTACAACTGATGAGCTTTGAGTCAAACTAATTTCAAATGGCCACCATTGACAAGAATATGTACTTAGAATGCAAGCACGATGTCGGACAACAGGAATGGCTGAACAGTTTATTGATATGCAGCTGCTGGTGGAGATTTGGGTCCTATGGCTGGTCTGATCTGTAGAGACAAGAGGATGAATGAACTGGGTTTTACTGCGACTCTTCAGAGGAATACAAAGGCATGCACTAACCTTGACAGTCAGGTGAGGGAGGGGCTCCTTCAGGGAGTTGGAGGTGATGACATCACTGACAGTGAGTGAGAAGCAGCTGCAAAGCAGTGCTGAACAGAGCATTGTTTGATGGGAAATCCAAGAGCGACGTCCCGCTTAGCAAGTGAGGGTCATGCACAATAAGTAAGAGATCCAGATCCAAAACCAATTTGTAATCCATGGGGCATAGTCATTCTAGTAGAAGGAGGGGTGGATACCATGGTCAGAGAGAGTAATCCAATACAGAAACGGAGCAGGCAAAGTGGAGAATCCAAAAGGCACACGTGAGGTCAACACAAGGCAGGTGAACAAGACTATAACGAGAGCGCTGGATATTTACTATCAGGAAGAGTTTGATAATCTGGCAGAAGATGAGTGAGAACTTGGGGCTTAAGTAGGGCAGGAAACAGGTGGATGGCATGATCACTGATTGAGGTGACTGAGCAGAGTGGACATGGTGGAAGACAAGAGAAGGGAAACAGAACATGATGACAAGAAACAAAACAGGATGGGCAGAAACATTTCAACCATCGCCAATCTATTAAACATATATACAGTATATATATATATATATATATATATATA